TCATTCCCTCAAATTTCTTGAGGATCATCGCTTATCAGAAAAATTGAGGATAATCTTTACAAATATAGATACCTAAATACAATTTCTCATCTGCATCACAAGCATACAAACATAAAACAGGTTCCGCAATGAAATCTCCAAAGATTCACTGATTTTCTCAATTTGCCTGAGGACTATCCTCTATCTACCCCAGAGTTCTGCATAATTCCTGAAAATAAAGACCAGGAAAGTCCTCCCCCACGAGGAGGCCAAAACTATAACAATCCCCAGTCCCCCCTCGTAAAGGAAAAAATATAGGAATCACTTCACTATCTTTATTCCTACATCTCCCAGCAAAAGATCTCACGTTCACTGGATCTCAGGGCATAAAAGTACATCTCGCATTCAAGGAGGAAGGGCCTCACACATAACATGCTCCACTTTGCGCACACAGTACTCACCATTAAAGACCACGATCTGGGTTAATGGCTTTTTGCACTGAAGCATCTTCTTCCTTCTTCGGTATCTTCCCCCTCGAACAATCCTTGATTTTTTTTCCCTGGCAATTCGCCAGGTTCACAGGCATTTCATGAATTTATGAAATAAAAAGTTGAAAATTGGTCGAGGAGGATGAAGACGAGAACTTTGTGTGATGCCTTTCACCAAAGGGGAGTGGGAAAAAATTGAGGGAGAAATGAATGGATGAACAGAACAAGACAGAGGATAATGGCTGGAGGAGGTGGAGGGCTGAGGTGCACTGACCGCCAGCTATTTTGATTGCTGGGCTTCAGCACAAACTCCTACCCAGCAGCAGTGAGCACACGGAAGCCAAATGGAATCATCATCTTTATGATTTTCTTGGGCCCCAGCGAAGTCATCCATCTTTCTAGATTTTTTTTATGTTACTGTATGATTTGTAATTCTTCCGGAATGCTGCCTTCAGCGGTTTTTACTCCTCTCGCAGTAGATAAATAAACCCCGGGGATGTGGGCACTGGGTATGAGAACAATTTCATTTGCGTCAACGAGGATATCCATCTGAATCGAATGAATATTTATGGTCGAGGCATTCAACGATCTAACGAATTCATTCGGTTGATCGATTGGAGTGACAGTGGCACATGAGGTCATGGCGAGGGGGAAATGTTGGAAACACGTTGTGGTAATTAATTTCATTATTTTCAAGTCCCAGAAATTTTTATCATGTTTAATTTCCACTGAAATTTCAGAATATCTTGTCATTGAAAAATCGAATATTCCATTGATTTTCTGCTCGAATGATCTGAAAATCATTAAAAATTCGGAACACTTGGAAAATTCATGGAAAATTTGAAAATTCTTGTCATTTTGGTTCTGATCATTTACGATCCATTGAAAATTCAATCATGTTGCAAACTTTCCATCTCACTTCCACTGAAATGAATTTCGTCGAATTCTACTTAAAACTTAGAATTTCAAAACCATTTTTCCCCTAAATCGGATTCAATGTCACTCTCATGAGAATTGCTACCATATTTTCCATGAAATTTCGAAAAAAATTTAACAGTGTACACTCCTTGCAAAGAAAGCTGTAAATTTTAGTGCCGCCATTCGAGAGAATTGATAGAAATCAGTGCCATTCACACTGAGAAAAAAAATTACATTTGCCGAGTATATTTACTTGCCACAAATAAATGTATATAAATATCTGCATAAGACATGTGTAAATTTTCTCGTAGTTAGTAAATATACTTGGCAAAAGCAATTTTTTTTTCAGTGCAGGTCAATATAAATTTGAATTTTATGGTAAATTCAGCGTAATTTGGTTCTAGATATTCATATTTTCATTGATAATTCAAGTAAATTGCAGGATTCTAGTCTTTTGGCTGCTCAAGAATTTCGCATTTCCTCGAATTTTCCGTGAAATGTGAAATTTCATGATGAACTTATTTATTTCATCATGAATTTAATTAATTTCACGATAAGAATATTATGAAACGTGAAGAAATTTTGTTCTTAGGGTGATGCCTGTACGTATTCACGCAAAACCTTGTTTTCCCGAAAATTAAATTCAATGTCCATGAGATATCAATGTTTTTCTAACAACCTATGAAGACGTTGAAACATTGAAATAAATATCACGAGTAAGGTCACACTCAAATCGTAACAATATCCCGTGACATTTACCTCCTGCAATGACCTTGTCTCGATAAAACGATGCATCAGGACGACGAAGAGTAATTGGATATCCAGGGGTATGGCCTCAGCAAGCGGCAATTTACCGGCACCAGGTGTATGTGGGTCTTCTGTTTGCCCATTGGCTACACCGACGGGACACATCCACCTCGTCCTTCACATGTCTCACCTCCATTATCCAGTTTTCAATCTATCAAGGACTCTTTCCACTCGGAATGTCAGGGATTCATCCTGGGGAATTGCTTCGAATTCTCTCTTTTTTACAAAAAATTATCTGTCTCCTGTGTCACGGGACCTCTTCCAGCACTCGCTAAAGTTGACGTATAATTCTTCGAGAAATTCGAGTGTTAGGATCGATGCACACTCATCCGGTATCAATTTACTTCCAGGAATATTCCTGACACTCGACCACGACTCAAGGCTGGTGAATTAATTTTAGAAATCATTTTGATTAAAACTATTGGTTTATTGATTCACAGTTATGCTCGCAATTGGGTGTTATCTTGGTGTCTTGGGGGATGAGTTATTTTTTTCCGCATGTTGGAACCAAGTCGGGGCAGGTTCCAACGTTACATCTGGGCTTGGCCATCACGCAGGGTCTCCCGTCGGGGCAGGCTGGAGCATCTTGACAGCTTTTGCCAGGGAGATGAATGTAGTCGTCGCTCTGGGCATTGGAGACCATGCAGTAGGCCACCAAAATGAGGGCCAGGGTCATCACGATTTGCTTCATATTTTGTTTCTGGACAAAAAATCATTATGACATTACACTGATAGACAGGATTAGTTATTGTTAATCAATGGATTTGTTAACAATAACTAAGTTGTTGTTGGAGGCTAGGGTCTATTCGATCTCACCAAATGTTCATTCGTTAATAGTTGAAGGGAGACTACTATGAGTTTTAAAAGTCGTGGGTTATTGGAGTGAGACTTTTCATGCGTTGAAGATTGATTATATAAATCTAAAAACGAATAATTAGTGCAAAAAAAATTTTTTTTATTGTTCGTTCGCCCGAAAACGCTTAAAATGCCAAAACCCGTCCAGGGCCTTCAATTTTTTAGCTACGAAGAATTTTTTTTTCAAAATGTTCGGAAAAATATGTGGAATAATAAGTACGAGCTATTTTTTTTAAATTCGTCTCTTAGATGGCAAAAATTTTTTTTTGTATTTTTTTACGCAAATTGTGAATTTTTTTATATAAAAAAAAAATCAGCTGTGTAGGAGTCGAATTCCAAACTGAAATTTCCATGAAATTTCATTTTTCTTCTAACCGTCCTATCGTCTTATCTAACCTTCTAGCGTTTTATCGTTCAACAATAATCGCTCCCCTGAAATATGCAATCCCCAAGTCGAACACAAATTACTCACTTTTTATTGTTCACCAAGTAGGTCAGGTCTCGCGGAGTGATCGATAATATCTGAATCCCCGAGTGGTTCATCTTCGTGTTTTTATCCCATTCCCTCCTACCTTCAAAACAATTTTCGCATGACGCGGAACGACCGACACGCTCCGCTGAAGGCCGCATTCATTTACGACTCGTTCCTCGCGTTATGTTTCCTTTTTTTATTTAGTATGTTTTAGTATAATCGGTGTCTGGTATTCTCAGGAATTGCTATTGCACTCTCGATAGGCGGTAATACTCCCATTTCAGGAGATTCTTGTACTTTTGTATCGGAGAGCATTGTTTTTTCATCTCAAGTCATGAGAGAAAAAACAGGAAATTGAGGGATCAATTTTCGTTTATTTGAGTAACGCCTCGGTCAGGAAACTCATTATACAATTTGCTGAAGGCTCATTTGAATTTTATTGGGCAATTTGACCACATGATGAGGATCCTCCCACAGGAAAAATATTCAGACTTGTGGTTTCTTCACGATTACGTGTCATAACAACTTGTGAATTAATTCGAGGCTGAATTAAGAGGAAAAAAGAGCGAATGTAACCGGACTAATTTCTCGAGCTGACAACATTGTCATCACAGTCTGCTTCTATTTCGAGAGATTTTGGCTTTGAAAATTCAAAATTTTCTCAATTATGCAATTTTTCTTAAATTATTTAAAAAATTTTCATTTACTGAAAATGTAGCGCAAATTTTGAGCAGGAATTTTTTTTTGCTTAATGAAGTTTTTGTAAAACGTGAAATTTCATTATTTTATTTTCCAATAAATCGAATTTAAGGCCTTAGTGGATTATCTTTCGAACGTTATCTCGATCATTTTTCCATCTTCATAATGTAAAATATATCACAATTAACATTGGATTTTACATCACGCAGGAGTCCCTAAAAATTATGATTGTACAATAAAAAAAAGTAGAAAAAAACTGAACATTTTCAAAGAGCGTTTTTAATAAAGATTAAGAAATAAGTCCGATCGAGAGGAAATAGTGAATGGATAATTGATCATGGTAACTAACGATCTGAGAGCCATCGACTGCTGTGATAAATCAAATTATTAATTTGCAATTTGCTCCCTATTGGGTTTATTTCCCAATATTATTCAAAAACGCTCTTTGAAAATGTTCCACTTTTTCAACATTTTTTTGATTGTACAATCATCATTTTTGGAGACTCCAGGGCTATGTAAAACTGAATAGTAATTGGAGATCATTTCAGATTATCAAAATAAAAAAAAACAACGAAGATCACGTTCCAAAGATAATCCACCCGGGCCTTAATGTACAACTTAACTTTCCATGAAATTACAATTTTTGGCTGAAATTTCGGGTAGACTTTTGTGGAAATTTTTACCATTCTGTCGTCTCAATGAAGATTAGTTCTGTGACGTTACTTCATTCTTTCTCTTTGTGTGTTGAATAAACCATCACAACGAAAAATAAATTTTTTTAGCTTCATGCCGCCGCGTTATCGTCCCTGAGATCAGAGGTAGCCGAGCTGAATGCCCGTCTTCTGTCGGCAACGAGAGCAAAAGAGGCTGCGGAGGCGTCACTGATAAGAGCCGAGGCACAGGTAGCAAGGGCCGAACAGAGGGCTGAACAGCAGTCAGCCAGGCAAGAGGAACGACTCACTGAACTTCACTCTGTCATTGCTGAGCTCGGGCGACAGCTAGAGAGACACAGGGCAACTGTCATTGCCGAGGAGGATGAGTCAGGCACGATTTTTTTCTACTTTTCATTCTTTTTTAATCTCTCACTCTTTCAATTGTTCTCTGTGCTCTCAATCCTCTGGAGCTTGCGTCGGGAGATATTAAAAATGAGGGGAATTGCGAAATTTTATTGACATTGGATTGAGGCCATTGTTTTGGGGATTTTTGCGTATTTAGTTTGTAAATCACGTGTGATAATGGCGATGCTTTTCGTCATATTTCTCACTGTTAAAATTTTTGGCTGAAATTTCAGGTACATTTGTTGGAAATTTATTTTACAGTATTGTTTCACTGAAATTAAAAAACATCTCACTGAAAATTCAATATTTTATAGAAAAATCAATGAAAATTATAATTTTAGTTCAATTATTTCATAAAAATTAAGTATATTCTCCAGTTATCAGTTAATTAGAAATTAATTATTCATCCAAGCAAACAGTATATCGACAATTTGTCGACAAATTGCCGGTGTCCTGTTAAATTTTGGATGGTACAAGTAAAAATTTTTTTTCTAGGATGTTTTGATTGAAAATTGAAGTTACGGAATTTTTCTCTTCATGCTGCTGAAAAATTTGGGACTAAATTGATTTTTCAGTGCAATCTGAAATACCTATCTTTTTTTTTCCAACAGTTCTCAACAAAAAATCCTCATTCACCCCTAATTTTTCATGTCATTTCAATAAACGAAAAACAATACAACAATTGTGATAAAAAAAAATTAAACCTCCAGAAGTGGAAACGAGTAGAGATGCTGAAGGATCGATAACAAATCCAGTGGAGGAGTCAGAAACCGGTGACATTCAGGGAGATGGTGATCGTACCCTGGGCGATGCCGACTCGAGCGAGGACAGAAGTTGTGGAGATGAGATCTCAACTCGCCAAACAGAGGTAAAAGAGTTCTTTGAAAAACCCGACTGGAAACTTCTGTTTATCCACGAGAAGAAAAAAAAACCACTGTTTTTCTTTGACAAACAGAATGATCGAGAACAGCTGGACAGCCCCGCGGCTCTACCCACCCCAGAGCCAACCCAGCAAGCAGCCTCGTGTCAGAGTGTCGCTGTTGCTACACTCCAGGAGGAGGTTAATGCACTGAGAGCTGAAATTGCTACTCTGCAAGCACAACTTGCGCAGTTCAGGGGCCATCCTGGACAGAATAACCACTCGGGGCATCATGGGAGCAGTGACTCACCCAGAAGGGATCACAGGGTACGTTCACCGCGTTCATTAAGTTGTTTTAATTGAGTAATCAAGAAGGAGTTGATTGTGTCAGTATTTCTCTCGCGCAGGGGACTCTGCGAAAGATGCGCTCTTGAAAGTTTTTGGGTAAAATTTCAGGTACTTTCCTTTGAACTTTTTAGCATATTGTCATTGCACTGGCGTTGCAAGGAATTTAATGCCACTAAAAATGCAAAATTTTAGGAAAAAATGAACGGAAACTGTGAATTTTAGTTCAACTATTCCATTAGAATTGATAGAAATTAGAAAAACTCTGGTAAATATATTCTTTTCGATTCAGAATACCCAAGTATCAGAGCTTTCATTTGAGCCTCATTTGACCCTAAGTTTCCGGATATTTTACAATGATTTTGTTATTGAAACTCTGCAGATCTGCATTTGAATCTCGATATTGAACCGTTAGAAAACATTTTATAAACCTGAAAAAAAATAGAAACTTTAATTTTGGAGGAAGATTGATGAAATAATTGAAAAATTAGAATTTTTTAAAATTACGAGCATTTTCTCAAAATAATTTATAAACAATCACTTTTCCACCATAAAAATCATTCGCTAGAAATCGTAGCAAATTCATTCGTATTCAGAATTTTATTAGAAATCCATTTCATGCCTGAAAAAATAATTATTTTAGTTTAAACAATTATTTATTCATAAACAATGAATGTTGACGCAATTTAATTGACAAATTTGATGGTTGATAATAGTTGAATCTACAGTGTGGTCTGTACCAGACTGTAAAAGATACTTGGATATCCTTAACTGAAAATTTCGCTTAATCTGGTACTGGATATTCATATTTTTATTGAGAATTCAAATAAATTGGGAAATTTTGGTCTTTTTGCTGCCCAACAATTTCGAATTCCCTTGAATTTTCCGTGAAAAGTACAATTTCATGATTTTTCCTCACAAATCGACCAGAAAAACTGCAAATATAAAATATATTCCCAAAAACCTTATGGTAAAGTCGATAAGACCCTCTGTCATTGCTGATTTCAATTATTTTTTCTTCCAACCTTTGATTCCAGAGAGGAAACATCAGCTCCCCTGAGCCCCTCACAGCCCCCTGCTCACCCCTCCTGCCGCCCCTGCAAACCCCCCCAGCGAAGAATCCCTCCCGAGAGGAGGTCCCAGTTCTGAAGATGGCTGAGAGAGTAAAATTGAGAAGAACCGATGAGAGGCACATCACTGGGCCTGACATCACAAATTTGGGTGTCTGCTCGACCATGGTGGCTGAACACCTAGTCTCTGATCTTCTGGACCACTCCAACCTCCACGAGCTCAATGGCTCTGAGAAGCAGTTCGAGGTCGAAACAGAGAGGTTGAACAGCAGACTTGAGCATGCCAGGGCCAACAATGCTGTTCTTGCTCTGACTCTGCACGAGAGCAAAGCCCAGTGTGACAGGTGATCTAGTCAATTATTATTAGACAGGTCACACTAATCTATTTATCTCATTTATTGAAATTTCATCTTTTCCATTTCGTATCTATTTTTGTGTTTATTTATAAATATATGAAATTTGAAATGTATTCAATTTCATTTACTCATAAATGCATTACAAAAATAGATAATACATAGAAAAAAAAATTCAATTAATGATAAAGTCAATAGATAAAAAATAAAAGCAAGTCATAATTTTCAGTGTTTCATATTTTCCTGTTTTAATAGTCTATTATTATTATTTTTATTAAGAAGGTTAAAAAATAATAAGAATGAAGTGTAGTATAAGTGATGGATACTAAACATAATCCATTCAATTAATCAATTAATGAATTTAATCCAGACTGAGTCTTCTCGTTGGTAAATACGAGTCCAACGCAACAGCCCTGAGACTGGCTCTTTCCTTCTCTGATCGTGCCATTGAAGCCTACGACGTCCTAGTTGCATTATTAGAAACAGAGATTGCATTATCATCGGATAGAAACAGTGTTACCATTGATAATCGAAGAACAGCTGAGAATGTCGCTCACCATGTACTGAAGAGACTGGAGAATGATTGTGCAACGCTTGGAGCACCGTGGGAGGATAGTATTATTTTATCCGATGAGTAAGATAATTTTTTCATTAATTTTGCACTTTTATTCAATATTTTATTTTGTATTAAAAACTTTAGTGTTGGGTGCATTAATTATTGTTCATTCATCATCATTATTCGTTCATCCATTTATTATTAATCGATATATGATCAATATTCTTTGAATTGAGTGAATTAATTAATTAGTGAATTGATCTTTTAATTGATTAATTTTGTCTTGGGTAGTAGACGAAGAGTAACATTGTGAATGGTTTGTTGGTGAACTAAATGACAAAATCAATTGATGATTTATAAATGAATAAATTAGTAATCAATTTATCAATTGTTCAGTAAATATTAAAATTATATATCAACTGCATTAAATACTCACTCCCCTAATTAATGCATATAATGAGCATCGATTAATTTACAATTGAATTTAAAGCTCTGAAGTATCGTGGTCAGTGGACGAAGAGCAACGTCTTCGTCGTCACATAAGCAAGCTGAAGGGCGATCGTGCGATGGTGAGATCAACAGCTGTGGAATTGGAAACAGTTCACGTTGAGCCAATAAACTCCAAGAATACGATTTCCCTAGCAGAGGCTAGAAAATTGGATCTCGAGACTGCTGTTCTCATGCAGGAGCTCATGGCAATGAGGGAGGACAAGGCAGAGCTTCGAGCTAGAGTTTTTCTCCTCGAGAAGGAACGAGCGACCGTTGAGTTGAAGCTCAATGCACGAGATGCACAAATCGCAGCGCAACACGCAGCTATTCAGCATCTGCAGGGACAGCTGACTGATACCGAGGCCATGCTGGCTATGGCTGGGAACAAGGAGAGGATTGTGAGTGACTGCGAGAGCGAGGGCATGGAGTCGGAACTCATTGAGGCCCTGGGGAGGGAGGCAAGGCTCAAGGATCGACTTCAGGAACTTGTGGCGACTCTGGAGAAAGTCACCAGGAACTCGGAGTTGAGGCACCAGCAGAGTGCGGAACTTGTTAATGACTTGAAGATGGCAAATGGGTAATTATGATTGAGAGGATTTGTAAAAATTCTGCCAGAGAACAAGAATATTTCGTTGATTTATAGTTGAGAGGATTTTTTTTTGTTCTATTTTGAACCTTAAACAAATACACTGTTAAAATTTGTTTGAAATTTCGTGGAAGATATTGTGGTAAATCTCATGAGAGTGACATTCATCGGATTTTGGTAAAAAATGGTTAAGAAATTTGAAATTTTAAGTAGAATTCATGGAAATTCATGAGTTTTCAGTAGAACATGAATATTCAGAAACAAAATGAGATGAATTTTCAATTTTTCCCTGAATTTTCCTCATTTTTCGGAATTTTCACAGAATAATTGAACTGAAAAATCAAGTATTTTATTGATTTCCAGATGATTTGAACAGAAAATTAATGGAATATTTGATTTTTCAACACGATAAAAATTTCCGGAATTTGGCACGAAAAATTCAGACGAAAATTTTTAACAGTGTATATCATATTCAATATATTCAATCACCTCCATAACGATTGATTTAATAAGAAATGTCAAGAGACATTCATTAAATCATTAATTCATCATAATTTAACTGATCATTGCACAGCTGAAATGATCAATTTCATTATCACCAACCAATAAATCAAAAAATTAAAACTAATTTTCAAATTAATTTTCTTTTTTTACCAGAGCACTCGTCCAAACACTAGATAAATCCAAAAAGAAGTACCAATCGAGACTGAAGAAACTTGAGCAGCAGATGATAGCAATGGTGGAGAGGAATGCATCTCAGGTACATAATCAGTAATAAAAAAACTACCTCAACAAGATTTTATAAACATTGCATGAACCATTTATTTATACTTTACAAAATTGACTACGTCCTGGTGATATCAAGTAGTTTGTGCTTGTTTCCTTTTCTTCATCTCCTCGTCGACTAGTTTATCGAGGTCGTCGAGAGGTCTGTAGACTAGGTGAACTGCCTGAGCCCCTGCGAATGCTGTCAGCATTGCAGCCACGAAGAACCTCACGTAGGGGCCCCAAGGCACTCCTGAGGGCATTTCCCCGGTTCGAAAAACTTGTCGAAAAATTACGTGCACTGTCTCCTCTTCTCGATGATCTTCAGAATGGCACAAAAAATCTTTCACTCTTTGAAATTCAAACTGATTAAAATCCTCGACAATGGGTTATTGAGGCACTCCTCACACTGAGTGATGCAATTTCTCCTCGACGATCTCCTCCACCTTCCTCTTTTTATAAGTATTGTAAAAGTTAACCTCTCCAATTCTCCAATTGATCATGGAGAACTCCAAGCCAGCTCCGACGATGAAGAATACGGGGAGAAACCGGTAGACACCGAAATAACGCTTCCCAGGGAACTTCTTCAGTAATCTTCCCAACGTTCTACTGTACAGTAGCATTTGTCTGCGGTTTTTGGGATTTTTAATGCGACAAGAGAGTGGAGCTCGTCGACTCGTCACACAGACGCAGCCATGCTGCATTAACCGGACTTTAGCTTTACTGCGCATGTGTCGTATCGATTTTCGAAGTGTTTGAAATATTTTGCGAGTGTTCAATACCTTTTACGAATTTTCCTTTGCTCTTTGGGGTTTATGATTTGTCATTGGGAATTTTTTAAACATTTTGGATTTAGGGACGACAAAATATCGATAACAATTGCCGCTAGTTTGATTGAATTAATTTTTTTCATTGATAAAATAAGAAATACGTATCATTTCGTGTCATGAAATTATGGAAAATGAATGATTTATGTTGAAAATGGAGAAGTTAGATGAATCAGAGCCTTTGAGGGTAAAATGTAAGTCATTCACATCTTCATTTCATTTTTCATTTTCATTTTTTTTAGAAATTGAGATCGAGTTTGAGAACAGTAATGCATTTTAGTTTTTTAATCAAGTCAACTTGTCCTCAATTTCAAGGTGAATATAATGAAAATTATCAAGTAATTTACAATTGTATTAAAAACGAGGACAAGTTTACTAACTACAGATCATAATTATCAACATTATAAACTCATTATTTAAATTTAATTAACAATCATTATATGGTCTCACATACACTTGTTCATTGTTATGTTTAGTAATTTGGTTAATTTCATTAAATTTTTTTTTGTTCTTCATATTTCATTTTTCATAATTTTATTTTAATAGGTACAATCATAACAGATAAATCATCATTACGAGGTATTCAAGTCAGTCAATCAATTATTCAAAGCTCATTACAACTCTTAATTGTTGTTTAATTCAAATCAATTTTATGACAGAATTTTGTAACTCGTTAATTCTCAGTTATTTGCCAGATTAAATAAATTACGTGTTAATATTTTTGTCTTTAGTCTTCATATTCATTTTCATCGAAAATCCTAATAATTTGTTGGATGAACGGGAGAAACTGGGATTAATCAGTCTATTTTGGTCTACAAATGTTGCAGGTGAAACTCTTGAAACAAAGAATAGCAATGCTGGAGGAGGAGGCAGCTGGGTACAAAGGAAGTCTTCCCCTGCAGTCCCAGAGCTCAGGTGCCTCAGAAACGTCTTTATGACACTCGTCGGATCGCGACGATTCGCTCGGATAAGATCTCATAACTCGATAACTTTCCAAATAGTCATGTAAACCTCGCCTAATCAGGATTCAATGTATTTTTCTACTCAATCGATGACAGAAAAAATGCTAAAGAACAAAGAATTAAATCCCAGAACCAGCTTTTGCGCCTAAACGACTGATGTGAGAAGAGAATATCCCGCTTTTATTGTACCTCGATGGTATTTAATACGAAATGGTGCGAGTTTTAGGAAGAATTATAAATAATTTTATTAATTTTTTTATTCTTCGGGGGAATTTAATGAGAAGATCCATTCGAGAAATTATCTCACAACTTAATTGTTTTAAATTTTGAATTCAATTTTATTGCAATATCACAAAATACCGAGAAAACTCAATTTTTTCTGAAATATTGACTCGAAAAGTCACGCGAAAATGTCGGTCAATAATTAAAAAACTATAAATTCTTGAAAAATATCGGAAAATTGTATACATCTTTTTTTGTACTTAAATCTAACTCTACAAAAAGGTGAATATTAATTTAGTTACCTCATAAAAAAATCAATTATGCAACGAAATGATAAAACACAGTTTCCTCAACAATTCTTCTTATTAAAATCAACCAAAGAATTTTTTCCAGCTTCTTGTCAGCTGTATAGCAGTGTTATGTAAATATGTATATTGTAATCGAGTCGAAGGAACGAGTGATACATGTAGAGTTATTAAATAAATCGTGCTTTATTAATTTTTATCGTCTGAATGTCGTACATGGTTGATTCCCCATATCTAATTAGTTTTAATGCTGTTGGAGGATCACGAGATTTCCCCCTCGTGTTCTGCATTCCCAACAACTGCAGGTTCTGCTGCACTCTCCTCAGGAATATTCGGTTGTCGTGTCTCTGTGGGTACGTCAGTGACTTAGAATCCCTCTCCTTGGTGCATGCTGACCGTCTGGAGCTCCTCCTCCAGGTGTACACATGCCCGCTCGATCTCGTAGTTCTTGGAGACTAGACCCACCCACTGGGCTTCCAGGGCTCGAAGCTTCTCGCCCCCTTGAGTCTGCATGGATTTTCGCTGCCAATTCACCTCTTGAATGCTTTTCCTCAAGGACTGAAGCTCTTTCTGGGCATGACTCACCATCTTCACAACCACTTCTAGGTGAGATTTCCAGGCTTCACAACCGTATTCCATCATCAATTCCAAGTTACATATTCTGGAGAGTGAAATAGAATAGAATATTTTATTTCTTTAATGCTACTGTTAGTTTTACATCTACACAAGCTAAAGAAAAATCCAATAACACCCCAATAAATTGTTTTTATGTCAATAATAGATAATAACTAATGATAATATCACAGTATCAGAATTTAAGCGATTGCTCAATTTCTAGACTCTTAAAATTTCTTTTCACCATAGTCTCTCAACACTATCTCTATCTTAGCTAGTTCCATTTGGAGAGTGAAATAATTGTAAATAAAAAAAACTGATTGAATAATTTAATTTAATTTGCAATTGAGATTTTTATTTTCATTCTCTATAAATTGAATGGAGATGGAAAACAAGATCAATAAGGCTATTGAATATCTAGTGGAGACAGTATAATTCTTATGGACACTTAAACATTCTCACCTGCAGATGTTATTATTGAGTTTGAGGATTCATTTTTACTTTTTTGAACTTTAGAAAAGAGAAACCAAGATAAATCAACTTGGTATCGAATTCAGCTTCTGGTAAATACCTTCAAATCCAAGGGCAATTCATCAGAAATTGAGCTACTACAGTAAAACAAGATGAATCAATCGCAAATTTAATTCAATTTTGGATGAATATCTTCAATCTCTCCACCGGATCTACAAAAGAGTCTTTGTGGGACTCGACAGTTTCCTATAAGACATTCTCCAAGAGTTACGTCTCCTTTTGCATTATTACTATTACATTGAATAAACTTCATTTGCATGTGACTAGTTATTTGACCCTGTAATTGACACTGCACTGTTGTGCCTAATGATAATAAATAATAAATATGCACAATAATAAATAAATAAAAAAGTAAATAAATGAATGAATGAATAAATCAATGAGTGAGTGAATAGATGAATAAATAAGAATTAATCGCTTCTCTTTCAATTACTCCACAAATAAACAGAATGCAACGATAAATGAGCCGGTTTACCTAGTCGCCTGATGCTCCAATTGTGCACTAGTATTATCCACACTCTCATTCCAAGCAGCAAGATCATTCATCTTCCCCGGAGGAGGTGGAGGGAGTTCGTATCGTTTCATACTGAGCACCTCCATGGGTATTCGATTCTGCATCCTCTCGAATTCGTGTTTCATGATGTCAGTCTCGAATGACGATCTGTTCAGGGGTGGAAGGTGCTCCAGGTAGTTCTTCGTGGGTCTGTACCTTCGAATCTCCTCCTCCACCATAGCCGATGCCTTCGGACAAATGCATTACAATTCATTACTTCAACAATACACTAGCTCAAATAAACAAACTATTCGAAGTTCTTAACCTCAAAATTGATATTTTGGGTGGACTTACAGCCTCTCTGACTCCTGGCTCATCGTATCCCTGATCTATGTACGGGAGAGCATCAACTACAACTTCACCAGCCATTTTTTGCAGTTATTAACTGTTAAAAATAATGTTTACGATTTGAGGGTTTCAGGGGACGAGTTTAGGGTAAACAAATGGTAAGGCGCCTTCTCTGAGTATTTCCTGCGCCACCACTACTCTCCATCTGGAAAAATACTTTCTCGTAAAATCTATTCCTTTGAAGAAATACAATTTGGCATAAACTAATGGAAATTGTAAATAAATGAACTATTCTTTTTTTTATTTCAACTTTTTTCTTCTTTTCCTAGGAAAAGAATATTTCGTAGAAAAAACATGTAACGACCTATATAAGTGAGACACTGAGTCACTGGAGAGCGCATAAATTTCAGAATATTCTTGCAATGCTTAATTAAAAGATTTCCTAATAACAACTCAAATATGTAAACATGATTAAATGAACTTCTAAATGAATTCAAGTCTAATATTTTCCATCCAATGTCTTAATTTCCTTATTTTATTCATTAAAAAAATTAATGTCAGAACGCAATTATCACGTTTAAATAATTTTTTTCATTCGAATTTTGGTGCTCCTTGATTTTTTATGATTTTTTTAATTTCATTTTCCAATGTTTTGCAGCAACGGGAATAAAAAACACGTGTCGTGGAATAAAAAAAATACATGGCTTAGATTTTCATCCGGTTTTTCTATTTTTTCACTTGATTCAAAGAAAAAAATGTCTAATTTCAATTGAAAAAAATGTCCCAATTTCCTCATTTTATTCATTAAAAAAATTAATGTAAGAACTCAATTATCAGGTTTAACTAATTTTTTTCATTCGAATGTTCGTGCTCCTTGATTTTCTAGGATTTTTGAACTTTCGTTTCCCAATTGTTTACAAAAACAAAAATATAAAACACGTGTCATGGAATAAAAAAATACATGACTGATATTCTTATCCAATTTACCTTACCTATATTTCTTCATTTGATTGAATGAACAAAATGTCAGTTTGTCATTTGAACTATCGCGCTAATGACTCGCGTATTAACGCACGTAGTGCAGCATCCGGTGATGCGCGACAGTCTAGTCGCGCGGTTTCCGCTTACGTTCTTCTTCCTTTACGGCCAGGCAAGGCGAGCAAGCTGCCTGGTGAGAATTGCGTTGATACGCAGAAAGTGGTAAAAAAGCCACGAAAATGGTGAGTCCCTTGACAATCCACCTTCACTAATTAGTCGTCCATCTCTCCGGGCAATTACCGCTTTGCAATTATCATCAATGAACGTTATTTCGTTGTTTTAACATTCGATCTCGTGAGTGCACTGTTAACCACGTGTGGCACCATCTTCCTCAGCCAATTTCGACGCTTTTCGCCATTCTATTCACCCTAAACATATTTTTTGTTATCTCTAACCGTTGGAATTTGCCATTTTTGAGCTTTTCATTGTTGTTTGGAGCGAAAAAAGAAGGTGTTTTGGTGATGTTGAGGGCATGAAGTGAGGTTGCGGTACGCAGCCGCCATGTGCATGTCACTGGACCTCATAAAAATTTTATTTTGCCAGTTGGATAATTAATAATCTGCTCACGAGTTCTCAATACAAATTTTTTTCTTTTGGTTTCGTCCATACAACGCATCCATTCACAATAATAATTGTATTTATAAAATTCTTATCAATGTTGATTGAATTCTATACTGGACATACTCAATTTTAACTGCATGAGTTGGATAATGCATTAATGAACAAATCTACAATACCAATAATTTTTTAAAATTTATACTCATTTATGAATGTCAAATTCACCAAACTATCTTAGATTGACCATTCGTTTCTATTTATGTACCTCAGAGTTTATTTTGCCAGTTGAATTATTAATCTGTTCACGAATTCTCAACACGATTTTTTTTCTTTTGGTTTCGTCCATCCATTCATCCATTCACAATAAAAATTGTGTGTATGAAATTCTTATCAATGTTAACTGAATTCCATACTGGACATACTCAATTTTAACTGCATGAGTTGGATAATGCATTAATGAACAAATCTACAATACCAATAATTTTTTAAAATTTATACTCATTTATGAATGTCAAATTCACCAAACTATCTTAGATTGACCATTCGTTTCTATTTATGTACCTCAGAGTTTATTTTGCCAGTTGAATTATTAATCTGTTCACGAATTCTCAACACTATTTTTTTTCTTCTGGTTTCGTCCATCCATTCATCCATTCACAATAAAAATTGTGTGTATGAAATTCTTATCAATGTTAACTGAATTCCATACTGGACATACTCAATTTTAACTGCATGAGTTGGATAATGCATTAATGAACAAATCTACAATACCAATAATTTTTTAAAATTTATACTCATTTATGAATGTCAAATTCACCAAACTATCTTAGATTGACCATTCGTTTCTATTTATGTACCTCAGAGTTTATTTTGCCAGTTGAATTATTAATCTGTTCACGAATTCTCAACACTATTTTTTTTCTTCTGGTTTCGTCCATCCATTCATCCATTCACAATAAAAATTGTGTGTATGAAATTCTTATCAATGTTAACTGAATTCCATACTGGACATACTCAATTTTAACTGCATGAGTTGGATAATGCATTAATGAACAAATCTACAATACCAATAATTTTTTAAAATTTATACTCATTTATGAATGTCAAATTCACCAAACTATCTTAGATTGACCATTCGTTTCTATTTATGTACCTCAGAGTTTATTTTGCCAGTTGAATTATTAATCTGTTCACGAATTCTCAACACTATTTTTTTTCTTCTGGTTTCGTCCATCCATTCATCCATTCACAATAAAAATTGTGTGTATGAAATTCTTATCAATGTTAACTGAATTCCATACTGGACATACTCAATTTTAACTGCATGAGTTGGATAATGCATTAATGAACAAATCTACAATACCAATAATTTTTTAAAATTTATACTCATTTATGAATGTCAAATTCACCAAACTATTTTAGATTGACCATTCGTTTCTATTTATGTACCTCAGAGTTTATTTTGCCAGTTGAATTATTAATCTGTTCACGAATTCTCAACACTATTTTTTTTCTTCTGGTTTCGTCCATCCATTCATCCATTCACAATAAAAATTGTGTGTATGAAATTTTTATCAATGTTAACTGAATTCCATACTGGACATACTCAATTTTAACTGCATGAGTTGGATAATGCATTAATGCACAAATCTACAATACCAATAATTTTTTTAAATTTATACTCATTTATGAATGTCAAATTCACCAAACTATTTTAGATTGACCATTCGTTTCTATTCATGTACCTCAGAGTTTATTTTGCCAGTTGAATTATTAATGTGCTCACGAATTCTCAATAGGATTTTTTTTCTTTTGGTTTCGTCCATCCATTCACAATAAAAATTGTGTGTATGAAATTCTTATCAATGTTGCATTAGTTGGATAATTCATTAACGAACAAATCTTTAAGACGAAGAATTTTTTTTCATTTACTTATATTTATTTATGAATGTCAAAGTCACGAAACAATCGCACTTAGAGTCAATTAATTTCTGTTCATGACATTTCAATAATAATTCATTACAATGCATAAAAATGTTGAATTTCATTTGTATTAGTTGAATAATTCATTAATAATTACATTTTTCACACGAATAACTTTTTTCACTTTCTCTTTTCCGCTCGTCGTTCAGAAGACATCAAATTCACAAAAAAAAATCTCTCATTTATGTGGTCTATTGGCATTCATGTCGTACATTGTACGAATTACTCTCAATATTTCTCAATTCAATACTCAAAATACCCAGTTTAATTTACTCATATTTTTCCAGTCGCTCTCAACAGCGCGACCTCTCGTTTCAGTGTACTCTGAGAAGAGTGAGGCAACTGAGGAGACGGTGTCTCTGCCCTCAGTCTTCAAAGCACCAATTCGTCCCGATGTCGTGAACTTCGTTCACCAGCAGGTGTCCAAGAACAGCAGGCAGGCATACTGCGTGTCCAAGGAGGCTGGTGAGCACTCATTTTCATCTCTAAAAAAAAATTGATTCATCGTTTGTTCGGCCAGAGCGTTGAAATTGTGTTATTGGTTCGCAGGTCATCAAACCTCCGCCGAATCATGGGGTACTGGACGTGCTGTCGCTCGTATTCCACGTGTACGTGGTGGTGGTACTCATCGCTCCGGACAGGGAGCCTTTGGAAACATGTGTCGTGGTGGACGCATGTTCGCACCAACTAAACCATACAGACGCTGGCATCGTCGTGTCAATGTCAACCAGAAGCGTTATGCCATTGTCTCGGCTATCGCTGCCTCTGGAGTCCCCGCACTCGTCCAATCCAAAGGTACAAAATTGAAATCCATGGAAAGTTTAAAAGTTCGATGTAATTCAGCTATGAATTTATAAATTTAAATGCAAAGAAATATGAATTGTTCATTTGCCTGACAGGGAATGTAAAGAGACATTTTCGTAGCTGAGAATATTTCTCATGATTTTTAAATATTTCTTGAGATGAGAAAAAATTTCTTGAAGATGAGTGAATTTTAATTGCTTAGAAAAAATGTTTTACGAATTTTTTTCCATAATCACTTGCTATCGACGCGACAACATCAAGATAAGAAAAATTCACTCGACCGTATGTCGAGTTAAATAGATTTGTCAACTATTCATTTATCTTGAAAATTCATCTCTCTAGAATAAAATGTTGAGGAATTTTTTGTAATTGCTGAAATTTCCAACAAGAACTGTTGACATTCCCTTCTAAAATCAAACATGATTAAACTTCTAATTAAATGTGGACAACACACTTTTTCTGTCACGTTTTACCTCTTGATTCTAATTAAAATCAACAACTTGGTAAAAATATGATGATATGCTTTTGGTCCGTGTTTATGATACATCCTGATTTGAGAACAAAAGCTTTGACCTGATAATTCTTCAAGTAAAGATTTAAAAAATTCTTTGTAAATCCCGCATCCAGAAATTTCAACATAACTGATGATTTTTTTAATTTTCTGTTCAGGACACATGATCCAAGATGTCCCAGAGTTCCCACTGGTCGTCTCCGACACCATCCAGGAGTACAAAAAGACCAAACAGGCTGTTGTCTTCCTCCGTCGCATCAAGGCCTGGAATGACATCCAGAAGGTAAATAAATAAATAAATTTTAAAAGCCCATTATTACCTCTCGATCGACTTTAATTGGCACTTAAAAATGTCCCCATCCTGTAACTGTTTACCCGGATGGTCCAAACGAGTGCTAGATTAATCTGGAGACTAGGCGTTACAGACTCAAGTATCATAATCAGCCTGTGACATTGTCTCCACACACTGCCTCAATCTTTCAAAACTTTCTCCTCATAAAATGGATTTTCTGATCCTTAAAGCAAACTTTTTATTAGATTTCGACAACTTACATCATCCCAAGTTCTTCCAGAATTATCCACCCTTCGCTTTCATCGTTTAAACCCGCGCACAATTTATCAATTTTCTGTTCAATGTCGAATGGACTCTCGAGATTCTCGCCCCCTTGTTATAAAATTCCTCCAACTTTTTGTATGATGTTATTAGCTCTTATCTTCTCTGCGGTGAAGAACGCAGATATTAAAGTGGAAATTCAAGTTCGTGTCTTACGGGTGTGAGGGCATTGAGGTTGAGTTAAAAAAATCTAATTGAGGAATTCCTCGAGTGTTTAAAGGTAGATTCAAATATAATATGACCTCTCAATTTTTTTCATCAATACAAAAGGTTTTTGTTGATACCCAAAAAGTGTTCTTAAATTTGGAATTCTAAATTTATTAATTTAAATTCATTGCAGAATTGTTTTCACATTTTTCTATGCAAAAATTGAATTTTTCTATAAAAATCATCATTGGTGTTTTTCAGGAAGTCAATTTCCTTTCAGGAAATTTATTTGATGTCCCTTTATCAGAATTTCGGTTTGAAATGTCTTAAAACCACGGTTCATCGAATTTTCTCACTATTTTCTCTGTAATTCCCCGCAATATTCTTAAAATATATGGAAGCAAATTCATGAATAGAAACTATTCTTGAAGTATTTTTTTTTTATTCATGTGTTAACCTACAATGGGTTATTTACAATCAAATAGGTAGCGACAATTTTGCTACAATTATGTAATACAGTTCTGTTTAACTACTGTGTGTTTCCAATTCTAATTTTACATTTTTTGAGAAACTGGTGAACAATTTTTAACGGTTCAAGGTCTTTTCCATCAGAAATGCAGCTATGGTGAACGGTCTAGGACACTTATGCTCGATTAGTTTTTCATTCACCTTTTCTCTTTCTTCACTAGAGTACTCTGGGATTCTTGAAAGTATCTTTAACGATATTCTTCAAACGATGAATCATTTTTTCCTCCTTCTGATTTTCTCCAGGTGTACAAGTCCCAGCGTTTCCGTGCTGGTAAGGGTAAGATGCGTAATCGTCGTCGCATTCAGCGTCGTGGACCCCTGATCGTCTACGGTGCTGACAAGGGTATTCGCAAGGCCTTCCGCAACATTCCCGGAGTCGACTTGATGAACATCAACAAGATGAACCTCTTGAAGCTTGCCCCTGGTGGTCACGTCGGTCGTTTCGTCATCTGGACCAAATCTGCCTTCGAGAAACTCGACGCCCTGTACGGCACGTGGCGCAAGGAGTCCAAACTCAAGGCTGGGTACAACCTACCCTTCCCCAAGATGGCCAACACCGATCTTGCAAGGCTCCTCAAGTCCGACGAGATTCGCAAAGTCCTCAGGGCGCCAAGGTAAGTTCACAATTACGAAATTCGAAATTAAATACTGACGAAATTAAATACGGAATTATCTCGATAATGAGTGCTCTGAGAGGAAAATGTCAGAAAAGACTTTTTATTGCAAATTTAATCGGCTACAAGAAAGGTTCTATGACAATTTTCTCTAAAGCCACAAATTGCCAAGATAAATATCAAATAACAAAAGTGAATTAGACTCGTTGCGGTGCATCACTGCACTTCTCATTCCCTTTATAATTTTATTGAATTTTGTGATGATTCCTTTGGTCCGTGTTGCTGACATACAGTGATTATACCCTCAACCAGTTCTGAGCAATCTCCCCACTCAAATAACGTGAAAACCATAAAAAAGAAATCTCTAATGCTAATTTCAATGTTTCACTCGCAGGAAGCAGGTCGTTCGTTCAGTCAAGAAACTGAACCCACTCTCCAACACCAGAGCCATGCTGAAACTCAATCCTTACGCCGCTGTCCTCAAGAGGTCAGCCATCCTGACAGCTCGCAGACGTCAGAGAGAGCGTGAGCTCGCAATTGCTGCCAAGCGTGGTGTAAGTTCTTTTTCACATTTCATAAAAATTTATCAATTCAGAGAAATTAGTCGTTTGAATAGAATACACTTTGTTTGAATCAAATAGCTTCCGATAAAGCTTTTATTCAAATTTTAAATTGTTGTTTTTTTAACATAAAATGAATAATTATTGAGTATAAGCAAATGTTTGCTTGATCCAAACAAAAGCTTGATTAGTTGGAAATTTATCAACATTCCATAATCCTTTATTTGAATAAAATCAATAGTTTTTTCCATTGGAATGAATAACAACCCCTCGTTAATAAAACATTCTCTCACATTCTCATGATCTTCATGATGATATTTATTGGTCCGTGTTGCTGAACGTCAGTGATTTAACTCTCAACCACTTCTGAATATTCCTGCCAATCATAAAAAAAATTGAAACATGTGGAATTGAGCGAATGATAAAATTTCTCGTTTGATGCAGGTGGAGCTGCCAGCAGACTCCCCAGCTGTGAAGACAAAGAAGCTCCTGGAGAGGCGAGGTAAGCAGATGCTCAAGGCGAAAGCGAGCAAACCGAAAAAGGCCAAGGCCCCCAAGAAAGCAAGTTCAGCTCCATCGAAAGCAGCCAAGCCAGCTCCAGCAAAGGCACCAGCTGCCCCCAAGGCCGCTGCCAAAGCAGCCCCCAAGAAGTAAAAACAATCTTGAACAACTGAGATAAGAAAATAAAAAAGTTATACAAAAAACGATCCAGTTTGTCGGTTCGATTTATTTTTACTTTTAAATAAAACGAGGGAAGAGCACTCACTGGATCATTATTTATCCATCGACAATTGGTTTATTCAGCATTTAAATATTACGAGATATGTTGCATAAGTTGATTCGTCGTCTTAGGGAGGAATTTCAACAACTGGTGCACGAATGTAAATTGTTTCTCCCCCGAAAACTTCAACTGAAACCAGTTGTGCATTCGCCTCAATTGGAATGAAGAAATTTATGTTCCTAATCGCACTCGGGTTTTTCGCCTCCTGCAGACGAATATTTAGTACGTCGTCAGCTGCTAGGGCTGCTGTCATTACTTTTAAACCTTCGATTTTCAACTCTGACAGGAGGAAAATTTAATCTTATTTGAATTTTCGTAGAATTGAAGATTTTTAATTTCCAAATGTAATTTCCTGGCATTTGCCAAGGCCAAGGGGAAGCTGAAGCTGGCCCTCAAGCCAGGAAGTAAAAACAATCTTGAACAACTGAGATAAGAAAATGAAAAAATTATACAAAAACCGATTTCGTTTGTCGGTTCGATTTATTTTTACTTTTAAATGAAGATAGGGAGGAGCACTCACTGGATCATTATTTATCCATCAACAATTGGCTTATTCAGGCTTTAAATATCACAAAATATATTGCACAAGTTGTTTCGTCGTCTTAGGGAGGAATTTCGACAACTGGTGCACGAATGTAAATTGTTTCTCCCCCGAAAACTTCAACGGAAACCAGTTGTGCATTGGCCTCAATTGGAATGAAGAAATTTATGTTTCTAATCGCACTTGGGTTTTTCGCCTCCTGCAGACGAATATTTAGTACGTCGTCAGCTGCTAGGGCTGCAGTCATTACTTTCAAACCTTCAATTCTCATCTCAGCCTGGAACAAAATTTAAACTTATTTGAATTTTCGTGGTATTGAAGATTTGCGATTTGCAAATGTAATTTCCTGGCATTTGCTATTCCCTTTGTTCTCCTTTTCCGTTTGGAAATTGAAATTTCGGGATATATGGGGACGTGTGGAGGGGTAAATATGAAGAGAATACATTTTACATTTGGGGTTGGGGGGAGGATTGGCGGCTGAGAGTCGCGGGGTACATGCACAATTGCAGATTATTCAAACTACTTTTTATTTTATGCAAAATAAATGGGTTGAGTGGAGACTATTGCTGATGACCTGGGGATTTGTGCTCGTTATCTCCTGACGTTCACTCTCTCGGAGTATTTTACTTACTGCGAAGTACGATTCCTCATCGATCGTGTGGAAGTCGGGGATTTTTGCGAACTTCAGACTCGTTTTTACTCCATTCGACAGTTTTTCGAAGTTTAGGTAATCGCCTTTGCGAAAGAATACGGAATTCTCCAGGCAGTGAGAGGGGAGCGACATTATTATTGAGATTTATTCTTCATTTTCCGCCCTGGGTTATCTATTGATTTGTGAAAAATATCGATTGCCGGATTTTTAAAAAATTATTTTCACTTGAAAGATTGAGAACGAGAATTTTTCTGCAGTTGGTGCTCCGAAATAACTGGAAATTTCCGGTAATTAGGGATTCATTTGTTTTATTTAAGAGTAAAAGGGTCGACATCATCATTTGATGCATTATTCACGTCTTTTGGATAGCAAATTGTCTCGATAACGAGTTGTGTCAAAAGGAAACCTTCAGAAGACAATTATGAGCGGAATTTCATCAGCTAAAGATGTCAAGAGAAATTTTCGTTGGAAATTTTATGATAATTCCTCCTGAAGTAATTAGTTTTCGAGATAAATGCACTATTAAGAATTCATTTTTGACATCTTTAATCATTTGTCTATCTAATAACATTTTCTCCACTCGTTAATTTGTTGATTCATGTAAGATACGAATTCACCAATATTTCTCGAATAATTTTTGCTTAAAGAATTGAAAACAACAAGAATTTCCATTAGTCTGGGTTTGCTGGTTAAAATTCAGTAGTGAAGTGGTAAACGGAGACCAGTCGACTTATCTCCTAGTCGAGTTTTTCAGGAATATTTGCGAATCTAAGGGAGATAGCGAAATTTTTGTAATTATATTTGTTGTAGCACTCGATTAGCTCCACAAAAAAGGTTATAACAAAAATTTTGCTATCGTCCTTAGATTCCGAGATATTGATTGAAAACTATAATAGTCAAAATTGACTTATCTCCTTTTACCACTTCACTACTGAATTCATTTGTTTATTAAAGCATAAAAGTCGTGAATGTCATTATTTCTCGGCCAATAATTCCGGAATAATAATACTGAATTTACCAGGGATTCAAGAGTCATCAGTATGGGATTAAATTATTCGTAATTTTTATACATCAACAAAATAACGAATGGAATTATCACAAAAAAACAATTATTCGTTATTTTATCACATAAAATAACAAATGGAATTTTTTCCATTCGTTATTTTGTTAATACATAAAAATAATTAATTATCTAATTTTTATAAATATTTTTTAATAAATATTCTCCATAAATTGAGCAGATTTATTCATATAAATATTTTCATTTTATAAATTGAGGACAATGACAATCTATTCTATTGGATTGAAGATTGAAAATGATAAATTGAACAAATTTGCTAATTAAAAAGGCATTTATTGTTCCCAATAATAAAAATATCACACACAATCATTTATTAACATAATAATCGCGTCGAGGTGCATGAATAATGAGCGTTCGATGTTTGATGTCGTAGTTAGCCCGGATCCTGTCGCCGTCGAAGTCCTCGGGCACCAAAAAATTCTCCGCGTGTTTCTCGTGTCCCTGGGATGATTTCCTCACCCCCGCTGGCTGCACATTGCACTGAACCCCCACCCGAAGGTTATTAGATTTGACAGTTATTTTCAGCGTCGACAGGTCGACCACTTCCGACAGCAGCATCTTCACCTGCAAATGAATATCTGTCAGTCCCATTCTTGTAAAAAACTGTTGACGAAACAAACGGGGTGGAAAAAAAATAATAAATGGGTTGACCTCAAACTCGTTGTCGTGCCTCGGTCCGACGTTGATAATTTGAAAAACAAATGGACTGGCACAATTTTCCATCGTCTCTCCTCTCTGCATTATTCCAGACAAAAATCAAACTTTATCCAATCAATTAACCAAGTGCTTCATTACGGGGAAAAAATGAGGTGATGGGGAGTTTTCATTAGTGAAAACAAAACTCCGGAATTCGATTGAATGACCGGAAACAAAAGAGGATCGCTCGAAAATTTCGACGCCTCCCATTGCAGTCCAATTAATTTAAAAGCCGCAAAAAGACCATTTGGAAAATCAATGTTTGGGAGGGAAAAAAATCCGTTCTCGTCTTCAATTTGACGGTGGGTGGAATGTTTATTATTTTTTTTCGATGGTTTGCCGGTGGATTTTTTGGCTCGACGCTTGCGCCAGTGGACAGCCGACGGAGGGGGTGGAGGGGGATAAAGAGAGGCGGGAGATTTGGGGTGGATGCTTGAAACGGAACTCTCGATGCCAGTCGAAATCCCGTGTGTCCTTGGGGATAGTACTCCACGGATTTTAGTGTATTCAAATGTCGTTACTACTGTTTGGAATTCTTGCTGCTGTTTTTGGTTGTGGTGAGTTTATTTTCATTTTTTTTTTCATATTGTGCACCTGGAATTTTTTGTTATTTTTTTCTATTCTGTATTTTTTGAGATGTGAAGTGGTGAAATGTAACGGAATGGGTAATTTCGAGGAATTTTAAGTCAGGTTGGTGAATAATTACATTTTTAGGGAGAAAACGTCGTGAGAAGTCTTGATATTTGCTCATTAGACGGATAATTCGATAGTCAAAGGTGAAGAAAATTAATTTGTTCGGTTCTGGTATTCCTCACCACTTAACTATTAAATTCATTCTCTCGTGTTTTGACGAATTCAATCAAATTCTTAGAGAATAAAATGCCAATATAACAATTGTTTTTTTATGCGCGTTAATGAAATAAAAGTTGGTAAATCATGAGAATTTTTCGTAGCTGGAGAACGTTTCGAAAAAGGCATCAATTGCTTTCTGTTATTTTTCAAGTTTTGTACTTATTGAGGTGTGAAGTGGTGATGTGTAACAGAATAGGTAATTTCGAGGAATTTTAAGTCAGGTTGGTGAATAATTACTGCGGAACTCTTGATATTTGCTCTCAACAAATATCATTGAAACGATAATTCGATACTCAAAGGTAAAGAAAATTAATTTGTTCGGTTCTGGTATTGCTCACCACTTAACTATTAAATTCATTGACTGTTCTCCTTCATTTCAGATAGTGTTTTAATTAATTCAATCAAGTTCTAAGAGGATAGAATGCCAATAAAAGAATTGGATTTTTTACGCGCGTTTATCGTTCATTCATTTGTGATTGAATGGGTGGTGAAGTGGTGAAGCGTAACAGGATAACTCACTTCAATCTAAAATATCATTCGACCGAGAATGAGTGGTTTCAGAAGAAAATGTCGCGAGCACAGAGCATTCCTAGATTTCCACTACTTTTCATTATTTTTTATCCGGTATTTACTGATATGTGAAATCTCATTAGAAACACTTAATGAGACTTAATTTGTTCGGTTCTGGTATCTCTCACCACTTCACTAATAAAACTCTGAGATCACAATAGAAGTAGTTTTTTCATATCTAATTGAACAATACTATACGTCTCAATAATCAACGATTTTTTAGAACTGAATAAATTCCCAATGAGAAACATTCTCCGATATTTTTCATCAAACTATCGGCAAAATGCCATATTTTACGAGAGGTGGAAACCGATATTATTTTCACTGTTTAATTTCTCTCCGCGAATCCAGTGAGCATTTAAATGAATTTAATTAAATTCTAACAGAACAAAAGCCCGGACTTTTTTCACCCACTTGAATAATATTCCGCCTTGATAAGCGTTCTTTTTAGCTTGATAAAAGCCCTTGAACATTTCTTTCAAAAATATCTGTGGAAATAATTCGATATCCAACGAAACGTGAAAAATTCACTTGTTCTGTTCTATCGCGTTTCACCACTTGACCATTGAAATCAATTCTGTTCTCGAATTCGGATAGCGTTTCCCTGAATTTAATGCAATTTCAAAACATCAATAGACCTCTTTCACAGATCAATATATCGCCGCAAAAATATCCCTTGACAATTCTGATTAAAAAAACCAATTACCGAGATAATTCAATACTCATCGACACGAGCAAATGAATTTGATTCATTTTGTTATTATGTTTTACGATCTGAATGTCTCATCCGAAACCCCAAGAACGTTACAATGAATTTAATTAAACTTTTTCCTCATTAATTCCCGAAAACGTCAGCAGCATTAATCCTCAATGTCACGGGATAATTATAACCCCCTCCAAAATCTGGTAAATGTAAATGACCCCAGTGAGTGCTAAAGGTAAACGTTGGAAGTGATAAATTCAGTGGAATATGGGGGGAGTTGGAATTTGGGGTACAAAGGAGACCCGTGTAATCCATTGATTATGCACAGCACACACCCAAAATTTAATTCTGAATGGGCTCAACTGTGACTCCAGAGCTATCATTTTTTCATTCGAACATCCTCGACAGTTCAGAACTCCCAAAACTTGGGGTTAAATTTTCGCGGAGAGATGTGAAAAGCAGATGGATACCGCGAAACTTTGAACGATTTCAAGTCCTTGAATCGGCAAATAGGGTAGGTATATTCAAAGTTTCAGTCGCAGAGTCTTTTGAATGTATATAATTGTTGAAATCAATTTTCCTGACTTATTCAACTTCGATATGACGTTCGAAAGTTTTTTTTTCGAAAATGTTAAATTCAGAATTTCATCGGAAGAAATTATCAATCGAACATTTTTATTTATTTTCATTTTCATTCATTTCGGAGGTTGCATTTTGAATTTTTAATCGGTAGAATAAAAAAAATTGACGTACTATTTTATCTCATCGTCGATTTTTCTAAATGAAACTAATTAATTAAGAATTGTAACAAGCGATTTGGGAGATTAATTTTTCGGTGAAAGAACTTCGAATGATTTAGAGTCCTTGAATGGAAAAATGGGGGGGAGGGTATGTAATTGTTGGAATCAATTGTCCTGACTTTTTCAACTTTGATATGACGTTCGAAAGAGTAATTTTTTTCCTCGAAAATATTAAATTTTGAATTTTAACTGAAGAAATTATCAATCGAACATTTTCGTAATTTCAGAAATTTCATTTTCAATTTTTAATCAGTAGAATAAGACAACATTGACGCAGTGTTTTATCTTATCATAGATTTTTCTAAAGGGAACTGATTAATTGAGGATCGTAACAAGCGATTTAGGAAATTGATTTTTCGGTGAAAGAACTTCAAAGAATTTAGAATCCTTGAATAGAAT